AACACTATTGTACCAGAGCTGCATTACTGGTACTGGTACTGGTACTGCAGTACGTACTGCAGCGATTTTGCAAGTACTGGTACTGATACTGAATTACTCTTACAAAATTTTGCTACTACTGGTACTGGTACTGCATTACTGTCTTAAAAAGTGGTACTGCTACTGCATTACCCAGTACTTTTGGTTTTGATAAAAATTAAAAATAGCATCAATTTTTCTCATAAAATAAAGCTGTAAATTACTTTAACTATATTTTATTTTTGTGAAAAAGTAAGTTATCAAATCTAAAGAAAATTTGCTGCAATATTCCTTCAAATGTTAACATAGTATTCATCATAAAAAGCACCAAAGACTTTAAGTAAAAATTAAATTAATATAAACAGACTCAATAACTCTTTACCCTAAAATATCCTTATTAAAATCTTTTATTACTTTGTATTTACTAGTAAAAGAGCAAAATAAACACTAATTAATTTCTTCTATTCTAAATAATCCCATTTCAAGTGAAAAAAGTGATATTGTTAGCACCATAAAAAGTTGTTATTTACTTTGGTATAAATTGAACAGAGGTGTGAAGGTGTGAAAGGCAACAAAAGACTGTTGTGTTTTAAATCATGAAAGATGTTTGCATTGTATTTATACAGTTGACTTGTAACTGAACAATTAGATATGACATGAATATAATAATTATGTTGTAAATATTGTTTGTAAAAAGTATGTTAAAACTATAAAGTTGTAAATATGTTATGTTATTATGATTTTATTTCTTTGCTGAATAATATTTGCAATTATTTGTTTGACACTGTATTTATTCAAACTTTGATGAATATATAAAAATAATGGTACTGATACTTAATTACATCACCAAAAAAAGTACTGGTACTGCAGTACCGAGCTAAAATCTAGTACTGGTACTGGTAATGGTACTGCATAATTTGCCAAGTACTGGTACTGGTACTTAAGTACTACACCCTTAGTACTGATGCAGCTCTGTATTGTACACATACAATTATTATTCATAGATCCCATTGGCTGAAATACATCTAAAAACTCAAATCAATTTATACCTATAAACAGGAAAGACTGAATGTGCGATCTTCATTTATTTACTTATGAAGAAAGACAAATTTACCAAATGTTCTTACCGGTATTTCATTCCTCTTTTTTATTTTCTGAATATTTGTAAATCATGTAGTAAAAACAAATCGCAGTGGTTTTAAATTAAGAATAATAAATAAATGATATTTATTATCATTAGGATGTCAAATCTAAAAAAACTCTATTAAATGAATAATGAAACTTCCTAAGTGAATTGTGAATCTTAAAGCAGCACGCCTCCAGATTCATGCTTTTTTTTCATGAAAATTTGAAAATGTATTTAACAGCATAATATTGTGATCTTACCAAAAGAATGCAATTTACACATTATCAATGGCACTTACAAAGCACGTAAATTACCATTTAGACGTCAAAATGTGCAAAATAGCCCTTACTGCGTTAGTAACGCAGTAGAAATATAGTGAAAAAATAGTGAAAAAATCGGTCATTAATTGCACATAACATGTAAATAATTACTAGAATTTTGAATTTTTATACTTTTCCTAAAATCTTAGTACATTTTTCTCAGGGTTTTGATTTTATCGAACTATTTTTGCTCATCTGGAGGCGTGCAGCTTTAAAGTAACATATATGTACACTATGAATAAATGAGCCGCGTCATGACAAAACCAACATAATGCGTTTGCGACCAGCATGGATCCAGACCAGCCTGCGCATCCGCGCAGTCTGATCAGGATCCATGCTGTTCGCTTACCAGTCCTTTTACAAGTTGAGAAACTGATAGCGAACAGCATGGATCCTGATCAGACTGCACGGATGCGCAGGCTGGTCTGGATCCATGCTGGTCGCAAACGCATTATGTTGGTTTTGTCATGACGCGGCTCATTTATTCATAGTGTACATATATGTTACTTTAAAGCTGCACGCCTCCAGATGAGCAAAAAATGTTTAAAATAAACGTTATTGGCTACACAGGCATCTTGTGTCATGTTGCCATCTAAAAATAAAGTTTATTATCTTATCATTAGTATCACTTTTGACATTATTATTATCATTATTTTAATGTTATTATCATTATTATAATTATTATAAAGTGATACACGATGAGAGAAGTAAATCTACCTTGAAGTATGTAGTTTTGTTTGATTTAAAAGAAAATGTCTAGAACAGTTAAAGATCCTGTATGTTGTAATTAAGGTTGTTACCACACGTAAGTGATTTTTTTTGTATATAATTATGCCTATAAAACAATTTTCAAACATCGAAGAATATGTAAAATATGTAGTGCAAATATTTATCTACCTTAAATGTATTAATTAAAATGTATACAGTCATTGCTTACTTAGACTTTATAGAAAAATACATTTATTAATTACCTACCTTTGTTTACATGAAATGTTTACTTCGTTAATATCTTTATAAATAATGTTTTTTGGAAATTACAATATTAATCAATCTTAATTTGAGCATCATATTTATCATAAAAATATGTTACAAGATCTTTCAGAAGATGTTCAGCGTCTGTGTATTTTTATCCACTTCGATTTACAACATATGAACGCCAAAAAAATTCATATGTGGAACCGTTGCAATCTCTGAGTTATTATGAACTCTGACACCCAGCTTATCCCCTTCTGTTAGCTGGAATGCCCCACTGATGTAACTAGTAATCGTGTGGGTGTTGGACTCGCTGGCACAATGGGTGTTAGACACTTTCAGAATGAACTTCTCATGATTATAATCAGCTGGCATCCCTGCTTGTTTCAAAATCACCGAGTGTTGATATATAGAAGCGGAACCATGCTGGTCTCTGTCCGCCATTTCATGCTCGAGGACAATCTGGCTGTATATCTGGTATAAACCCGACTTCTTGATTTCAATCAAGCCATGGTCTACGTGATGTTTGATTCTTCCGTCATTTAGATCAATTGCCAAATCAGATGTTCCGTCCCATTTCAGTTTGTGGTCGGAAGGACCTTAAAAGGAAATAAAAATATGCTATATCACCAATTTGTCTATTTTATAATTATTGCTATAATTATCTGTATTACTATCATCACATTTGTTACTAATTGTCATTATTATCATTATTAATTTTATATCCTTTATATATAAATACATGATCCCATGCACTTATTATCTTACTTGAAAGTTCTTTATGTTCTTAATGGTCTGTAATATTTTATGATAGGTACCTGTTTGTTTCACCGTCTTTCCAACCAATTTGATAATGGGTTTATGTTCTTCGTCATCTCCACATTTGTATCTTGTGAACTCTCGATTGTCTATGGAAAAAATGTTATAGCTCTACAGTATCTATTCTAGATGTAATATACATGTATAAAAGTATGACTAATTGTTCAATGTTTTATTTATTTTTTCTATTTATATATACATGTATATATATATTTCATTCTTTTTTGTTCTGGAAAGCATAGTGAAATAAGATAAAATCCACAATTTCACACATCGCTTTGCTTACACAATATTTGATATTACAGCAGAATTGATCAGACTGTTTTCCTGAAGGAGGAAAACATCAGTTGCCCCTCCGTGTAATTTTTTTCAGGCACGAATGGGCGGGCACCTGAGTAGAACCATCGACATTAAGCTGGCTTTAGTCCATCTTAATCGAAACTTGATGAAATTGCAATTCATTACTATACAAAATATGTAATTCAATATACCATTGCATCATGGATAGAAAACCCTTTATGTCAACACAATGTAATTTAATACTATATAATTTAGTAAAATTTTGTCTATGCCTTATTATTTGTTTTCTCAAAGATTGCTTACCACTTGCAAGTTTCTTTTTCAGCCAATGGTCTATGAACTGAATAAAAAAAACAACATAACTTATTGTTCAGGTACATCTATTATTTTATAAAGGCAGGATGATAAAAATGAATTGCACGGTTATACATTCTGTTATATACTTTTACAAGAAATAATATATTGTAATGGGTACATATGTGATCTTATTTGAATAAAAAAATACACTATATTAGTTATTAAATTGACAGATTCAAATGATAGTTATAACAAATTATAAATGAAAATTTACTTTCTATTTCAATATACATTGTAAAGGGGACATATTCAAATAATATTTAACGGATGATGAAAAAAACATAAAGCTGCCGATTATTGTACGTTACAAATTGAATTGTGGACACCATAAGCACCCAGTTTCACAACCAAAAACATTATTCCACGAATTATTTTGTTACTAAAAAAACAAGTTTTTTATATCAAAAATGAAATTAAAATTTTATTGTTATGAAACCAACCAAATTTGAAATAGATATTTACTTTCGGTTTCTGTCGGATACTACATGCATGTAGAATCTAAAGGGATGTATACATTGATCAATCAATCAATCAATCAGATTTGTAACCAATAATTATATGTACTTTCGTTTTCGGTATACATTGTTAAAATAATTGGACACATTCATAGCAATAGTTCAATATAAATTTTGAAATAAATTCAAATATGTACTTTCGATTTTATTTACAAATTTTACACTGTCATAGAGGAAATTGAAAGAAAAGCAAACACAACTTTATAAGAACTGAGTACTTTCGATTTAAAAAGAAATCTACATACATATCCAATAAGCTTTTCCGACCCTCCTTCTCCTTCTTCTTCCTCTTTGACGCAGCATGTCTCTTTGTTGTCACCTCGGAAATCAATTCCCTCAATTGTATCATCAGGATGAAGCTTGAGGTCCTCACATGGTACACATATGTCGGAATCACGAAGAACGACCACGTCCTTTTCAGTGGCTACATAGTATGCGGTGATTGCAATGAGGGCTATCAGAAGAAAGTTTAACACCAAAAATAAACCTATCCCGAACTTGTATCGTCGATCCTCCTTCGCTTTTTCTCTTTGGCTGACAGTAGAAATTCCTCGTTCGAAACCTGGCTTCATTAAAGGATCAGTCTTGTCACTTCTGTCATCTTCCTGTTTTTCAACAATAAATTTTACTTCATCCCAATTTTACTTTTTCTGAATTTTTTTCTGAATCCATTTTTCACCTTTTATGTTTGATGCCGTTGGTTAATAAAACTGATTTAACATCCCCGTCAAGCAGGTTAATAATAACCTCACTAATATGCCAATAGAATATTTAATGTGTAATTGATTGAAAATGAACTGCGACAAAATGGCCGTATATCTTATTTTCCACAGGTGATCCCCCCTACTTTTACGCTCATTACAATGATCTATTTTTAACCAACCATTGATTGCACAGGTAAGCAGATACAATGATTCACTAGGTCATACTATATGTTAGCGTAAAGTGTACCCGTTGTGAAGTGTTACCAGAGACGTTGTACACTACCGGTGTCAGGTTTAAAGAACAATGTAATATAGTTGTATCTTTATAAATAGCTTTATAAAAGTTTTGATAATCTTTACACCAATGACAAAAACAAGACAGGTTTATTCCGGCACTATATATACCTTGCTAAACCGCTTTTTAACGTTAGTTCTGACACTAAAAGATACTTTAATTTAAGATTCCACAATGAATGTTTCAGAAAACGAAAGTTAACACTGACAAATAAAAAGTCGGTTAATATACCGGTATTACGATTTATTTAAACTACTTCCACAAAATGCCCTATATAATTGCTAAATGTGCATTAAAAGATAAATTCAAACACTCTTTCTTACTTAATACACGGTTTTATTTTGAAAATTCATTCACAGTCAGTTGCATATACATGTGAAACACTTAGAGGGACTTAATTTTAACCCAACACTTACATTTTTCTGTATTAATAGGTTATTTGTGGACGGATTTGTTCAAATTTGGACCATACAACATTCAACATATCATACTTACTTCTTAAAATTATACTTACAATTCAGCAATAAGAAAATAGAGAAAATAACAAAACAATTATTCTGCAACTGCAAAAAAAAATCAAAAAAATCAGAATGGCTGTAAATAACCAGGGTATTTCTTGAAGTGTGATTCAGAGACTTTCATTTTGTTACGATATTTACAGCCATTCTGTGATTTTTCTTTTTGCAGTAGCACATTTGTTTTGTTATTTTTCTATTTTCTCATTGATGAATTGTTTGGTCCAAGGTTGAACAAAATCCGTTCACAAATAACTAATATTTATCGAAAAATGTAAGTACCTCTGAGTGTATATATATTCGCATTACCATTTTAGATTGCAATCATTAGGCATTATCCGGTTTTTTAATTAGGGAAAATGGAGCAAATTTTGTAAAAACTGTTGACTAGCCTGTACTGTAATCAATTGCATATATTCTGATTTGAAAGCAGAGGATATTGATAATAAATACCATTATACCATAATAAATAAGAAAGGGTAGTTAAGCAAGATTTTTCTGTAGGAAGAAATAGAACTGAAGATAACGTGTATGCAAATAGGTACATCATTATAGCATACAAGGTAACATACAATTTTAGGAAAAGAAAATAATGAATACCACCCAAATCCACATTAACGACACGTTATTTTAACCCCAATATGTAAAATGTACACGTTCTTTCTTTTGGAACCTATAAAAATCCCAAACCGGGCATGCAAAATCTAAAATACAGTCAAACTTCGTTCGCTCGGAGGGCCTTTGCAAATTTATTTGAGAGAGCCAACCTATTATCATGTATCATATTATATTTAAGTAGGACAAAGGCCTTAAGGTTTCTTAGCCTAAAACGGTCGAATAATAAATACGCCAACATTATTGTTTGTGTGTATATCAGTTCATCGAATTTCATCTCACTATTAAGAATTATCATCGACAAAATACATAACAGTGTTTTCAAACAAAAGCTTCAAGTAATTGTAGCGATATCGAAGGGCTATGTTCATTTCTTTAGATATTATTTAGGAGTATAAATGATGCGTTTAAGGCATTTTTTCGACTTTGTAGTGATTACATAAAACGAATGAATCGGTATGTAATAAAACACTACCCACAGGAAGTTCATTTACTATTTGTAAAGGTACATTGTTGTTAGGTAAGTGATCATTACAATTAAGCCCTTTCCTACGTCGGAACACCACTATCATAGTCTTAGATGCATTAATTTGTAGATAATACTCATACAATTTATATAAAGATGCCTGTAAATCTTCAACAGAATTCCCAATAATTGCAATAATTAAAGTGTTATCTGCAAATAAAAGTGCGATAAGACACACATCAAAAATAGATCAAAGTTCCATAAATATGAAAAACAAGATCACCATGGAAGACGGCGCCAAGTTTTCAAGAAAAGGCACAAACATTAAAGGCAAATTGTCTGGCCATTGATAATTCTAACTAACTTATGGAATTTTAGTAAAAAGAATGTTTTTGTAAATAAAACTTTCAGGTAATTTGACACACATTAAAAAGTTTACTAAATTTAAAAAAAGATCATCCAAGTTTGTTCTGCTCCAATACAACCATGTGACCATAAGCTTGTTTGTTGAGAAACACAGTTGAAACAATTCTATTTATCAAGTGTCGGGGTTATCTATGCGTTGGAGTTATCTCTTATTCATAATTACACAATTTGGCTTTCAAAGTGGTAGTTCAACAAATGATGCTATTGCTTGCATTAAATACTTTAGTTGAGCAGTAAATTAACCGTAATAAACGTCTATTTGTAGGCTTTATCGATATAGAAATGTTTTGATTCCATTTCAACTTTATAGCTCTGGTAAAGAGGAGAAAGTTTAGATCATTATAAGAAACATGCATGTCTTGGTTAAAAAGGCACAAAACATTGTTAATTTTTTTAAAGGCCGAAGGTTTAAGACAAGGGAAGATAACGTCACCAGTTTTTGTTTCATTACTCTTAGTGATAAAGGAAGTAGTGGATTACTCATAATTGATAGTGTAATTATTATCTTATTGATTTCTGTGATGTCATGACAATTATTGGAGAGACATCAGACGAGATACAATGCAATTTCGATCTTTTGCATTCATTCATATTGTTGTCACTTGTAAATAGAAGTCAATGCACTAAACAGAAATCCTGTTTTTTAGTAAAACAAAAGTAGGTTTGAACCTGAAGAAAATGGACTTATAATGGTATGGGTGTATAAAGTTGTAATTATTTATTAATTTCGCTTTCATGCCTGGTATAATGAATACTTATCTGGAAAATTACTTAAAGCTTTCAACTTTTTGTTGTGTTATTGTAAAAGGATACCACTAAGGGAAGTTTAAATTTTAAGTCCCACTTTAAACTATAGTAGTTAAAATTGTGGTTTTTGCAAATCCTAGAAACCAGAAAGGCTGCACTTAAAGTTTTGTAAACGTATATTTAAAGTACCTTTAAATTACAGTAACTTTGCAATATATGGAGATATTGAACATTATCCTCTTTGTATTTCAAGATATTGTACCAAACATATCTGGATCTTGTACCAGACATATGGAATTCCTCACATCATGTTCAGATATGAACAAGTATGATTGTACTGTAAGAACCATCGTATCAAAGATATTTGCTACTTTGTTTGTATTTGCCCTTACTACAAAAAAACTAAGAGCAAAATATTAAGCAATATCGTTATGGTAGACCATCTGTTTTAAAATTCTGTCATGGAAATTATAAAAAGATCTATGTAATTTTGCACTATCACTAAAAGAAACCATATTAGTTTAGAAATTATTTACCATGATTGAGCAGTGAATATTGTTAAAGTTTTAAGCTGAATTTCACTTTTCACATATAATTTTTGAGATGCTTATAATGTACTAGTATTGTTGGTAACACATTTAATACTTGTATTTGTTGTTAGTTTACAGTTTTAAAAATTACTGGTATAAAAATTAATAAAAAATGTTTGTTAAATTAATAGTTATTTTTGGAAAATAGAAAATTATTTTAAAAAAAATATTTCAAAAAATGCAGTTACAGTTTTCTTTTAAAAATGACAAAAAATAAAGAAAAATTTTTTCCCAAAAAATTTTACATTTTTTCTAAGCTCCACAAAACAACAAGAAACGTAATGGTAAATAACAATTTAATTCTAAAGAAAGAGTGACAAACTTGATTTAAACACTTTTATTATAAAAGGTTTTTTATTATGAACTTCACATGCAAACACATAAAAAACAGAGCCACTGGCAACACAAGTAAATGAACACTTTCTTCATATCACAGTCTTATATAGTACATATAATTATTTTCACATTGTAGTATTGTTTTAGAAGGAAACAATATGCATAGCAAATACATCGAATTAACTGTATCATAAAGAATTCATTCTTTCCAGGCATGTAATGGTCTATGCAAACCTACATAAATAAGTATCGGGACTCTTAGTATTATTTGCCCTCACCACGGCGTGCACGTGGCCCCGAAAGCGATGAGGTCATATCAGATTTACTCCAAAATAATTGTCTCGTGTGTATCTTATGTATGTTATATTGCTTACTTTAACTGAAAGTTCATCACCAGCTTTTAGTTCCGCCAGTGAAGAGACATAGCTATTATATGAATTGTAGTATCGGTTGGTAGAGATAGTATGTGGTTGTACATTTGATACTAATTCTTCTTCCTCTCCTTCAAGAATATTGAACTTAAAAATACCGTGCTTAATTGGTTTATTGATATCTTTGACATCTGGTAAACCAGATGAAGGATTGCAGGACTCGAAAAAGTCAATGTTAGAGTAAATAAAATATGTGCCGTCTACTGGAACAACTAGTCGACCATTTCTGTATCTAATTCCATATCTGATAAACCCTTTTGTATCATAAAGTTCTCTTCCGTTACGCCACTCTCTTATTGGTACCATGTCAGCATTGCTGTCAGCTGTAAAATAAAAGTTAATAATCAGTTACGAATGAATTATCTTTTAGATTACTAGTAATTGTCGTTAACAGTTAATTTTGTTTTCAAGTTGTTCTTTTTGCAAAACTGAAAAAATAAAATAAAAATACGACGAAAGAAAACAAACCCCAAAAAACAAAGGCATACTTTTTCGCAAATCTGGTTGTTCCTTTCCAGTGAGTTTTGCAGCTGGTTTCATTTCCCAGAAACTCTTGTCATAAATATTCATTAAACGGGCACTGATTTCTTAAGTGTCTCTTTTTTTCCCCTGCTTGTTTTTTACTCATCATACTTTGTGGAAATTTCCTGAAACAAAAAGTAAAAAAAAAAGGAAAAAAAATTTTTTTGTTTTTTTGATTCTAAAGATTTTGGGAAATGGTTTTTGTACTCACAAAGGTAACTACAGTCAGTGGTATTAAATTTTGTCCATTTCTAGTTAAATGTAATGTTTTGTAAACAAATTAGTTGTCTGTTTTT